CCAACATCAGATTCTGTTAATATTGCTGCTACTACTTACATAGATGATACCACTTGGATCTCAAATGAAATTTCCAACCTTAAACAGATTATTGATATAGCTAATACTTTCTATCAATTAAACGACATTCAGGTCAACTTAGAAAAATCCTTTGTAATTTCGACAACATCTAATCAGAACCAAAATATTACTCTTAATCTTCCTATTACCAGAAAATCGATCAGTATTCCAACATATTACCAATCTGAATCGGTTAGATACTTAGGAGTTTGGATTAGTATTGATAATAACAAAAAACTCATTATTATCAACTAAAAAATATTATCAATGACTTTGTTCTTAAAATTAAATTTAAACCTATGACCGATAAAATGGTTTTATATTTAAATAACACTGTTCTTATCCCGAGACTAGAATATAAATCACAATTAACTCTTCTTTCTAAAGCAGAGTATAGTAGATTATATGCACTAATTAGATCTGTTATCAAACATAAACTCAGAATGAACAAATGTTTACCAAATAGCATATTTAGACATAATTTAACGTATACGTACAGAGATTTCTATGATATTCAAACACAGGTAAAATATGATCACTTTATCAAACTGATCAACCAAAATAACCTCACAACTACTACCTTCAGAATTCGCCTTAGACAAATTCAATTTCAACATCATTTACATGACAATCCACTTACCTCTTGGAACTCATCAAATTCTTTATCAAAGAATTCCAGTTTTTTAGAAGCTCTTCTAAATAATTTACAGCATTTGAACATCAATTTCACTCAGCCGACAAATGATCTATTCTGTATTAAAAAAAGGTCATCTAATATAATTCTTATTAATAGTCAAAATCTGAAATCCCTAATTACCTGTCACATTATGTTTTTTGAATAATTAAAATTGGTAAAGACCTTTATCTTATATCATAGAATGATCTCAAATACAAGACTTTTGGATCTCTTTCTCAAATAAGCAAACTTCCAAATTAGTATCTCAGATTACAACAGAAAGTTGTCGATAATCCTGTTTACACTAATAGACTATTTTCACAATTTGCTTCTGATATTTCATATTTATCTGAGTTTGTTATTTCTATTCCAGACCAGAATCAAAAAAGAATAAATTGGACTACTTTCTGGAACAACACTTATCAATAAATAATCATTAGACATTCAATTAAAATTTCTGCTCAATCACACTTGGCTCTTTTTCACCATTTTAATAGACAAAATCACTTGCAAGATCCCATTCTCCTTCAAAAAAGCAACATATTTACTTACACAGCATGTCTCAGTTGTCATCATAATTTAGTTGATGACAAACTAAATTCCAAACTACTAAATTTCTCAGATCTCAAATGTGCCTTTTATGTAAACTGTAGTTTGTTAAACATAATTGACGCAAATAGCCTAAAAGGAACAAATACAAGATTAATAGATCATATTTATTTAACTAGAGCTTTTTTGTTTACACATTCTGATCAATCTCTTTCTCTTCATAACAAATTTACAATATTAATATCTCTTCACAACTGACTATAGAATTCTCCAGAAATTTCTCTCATAATATTAATTTTCTAAAAAAACTGATCAATTATTTATCAACATTTATTATACCTTCAACAACAACTTTATTTAACACATCTTAAAAACCCCAAACCTTAGAATTTTAAACTAATATTCTCATTTATATAATTCTGATAATTTGTTTACTAATCTTAGTTTAGCATTAGCTTTTATTAATAATGATAATTTAGAATTTTCTTTTTTAACTGCTATTACCCCATTTGGTCCAATTCATCTCATGCCAAAATCATGGCTATTCTTCTAGTCATATTCTTATCTCCTTCATGTTCTAATATTATAATTTATACAGATAGTCTTTTTTCAATTCAAACTTACAAAAAAATCAAAAAACATAACATTTTGAACTACTTTACACTCCTTTTTAAAATTCCTTTCTATATTTATTGGTCTTATATTTTCTTTTATAGATATCAAACTATTACAAGTGAAATTTGTAAAATCAAAGCTCACTCAGGAATCAAATGGAACGAATTTGTCGATACTCTTGTCAAAGATGCTTTATTTGAAACCCAATGGAATTAATTTTTGATAATGCTTCTCATGCCAAATATTTTCCTAAATTTCAGAATTTCATAATTAATAATCCAGCTCGATCTTTTATGAAAACAATTTCAACAATTTAAGGATTCATTGATTTCTTCTACTTAAAAAGAAACTTTAAATACAAATATTTTCATATAAACTGGCTCTATACTTTTACTAATTTGAAAGGACATTAATAATCAAATACAACTACATTTGATAATTCAAAATAACACAGCTGAAGAATCAAATACTTAACTGAATAACTTCTTACAGTAGAATTTTTAAAATCTATACAAAAATACATTTACCAGAATTCATAGAAATATTGTCGCTGTGCTATTGAAAACGAAACTTTTGATCATATTTGGCTATGTTCTGCTAGCTTACCTATCATGATAGATATAATGGATTGTACCAAAAATTTCCTACTATTTCAACTTATCACACTGCATCTTACTCCTTCTACTGCATTAATTCACTATCTAAACACTGATGAACTTTAGACTATCGCCTCTAACAAATATTTTTTAACCTTTATCGATCTAATTAAAGGCATTATTCCTTTGAGCCTTTTCAATCATATTTAATGTATTACAAACTTATAGAAAACTACTTTTAATATCTTTTCAAATACTACCATGTACTTTTATAACTGAACTTATCATAATATTTAGCTTCCTAGATGTGAACTCATGATTGAAAAAGAAAAAGCTTTACACATCTCTATTAAACAAAAAGAAAATACGACTACTCTTTAACATTCACTTTTAATTGACATATTAATTCTTCATCTTTTTCCAACTAACCTATTTTTACAAATTGGATTGATTTAGACAGACTTTCTATAATTCATGGCAAGGATTAGACACTCTTCTTAGATCAATAATAGCTAGTTATTTTCAATTTTTCTTTATTTTCAAATTTCTTCTTTTAACAGACAGTTATGATAGAACTTATATTTATACATTTGTTTTTGAACTCGACAAGATAACCGGCTGGTTTGGAGGAACCTAATCTTTTATAGGTTTTTTAATGTCTCTAGACAATAATTTTGTTTATGTTAAATCATATAGATAGTACTTTAGTCTTTTTACTTTGTATTATTTGATTTTTAAATTTATTATTAATAAAATTATATTATCGCGTCTATAAAAAAAAACTGATTCAATTTAGACGAATTTTAGCTTATTGGAATTGTTGCATTTAGGAGAATCGGAATCCAGTATCAGTTTTTTTTAATAGCTGACCTACTGAAAAATTTTCTAACAATGAAATTTTATGTAATAAAATGTTTATATTAATCGCAAAATTGTGTAAAACTGGTATTAATAATCATACATCAAATTTTTATTGGTTATTCTCTAAAATTTAAGAATTAAAATAAATATAAAATCATATTTTTAATATGGGTAGATAATGAGTTATAAGCTTTTAAAGTTAAAATATTAGGTGGTGTATTACTTTTAGAAGCAACTGTATAATAAATAAAATATCTTTTAAAAAACTTATTTTGCTATAAAAAATCCAAATTCTTATTTAAACAAATTCTAAATATTAAATTTATAAAATCTATGTAATTTTCAGTTTACAACTTATAAAAATAAAAAAAATATTTCAATCACATCTAATTTTGTACTAAAATTAAATAATAATAAAATAAATTATTAACAAAACATTATAACTTTCAAATTACAACTGTTTATTTATATTTTAAGGTCTAATTTATTCTTTTCTACTTATGTATTTTTTTGGGATTTTATGTAAATATTTATTAAATTAATAAATAAATGCATTAATATAAAAAAACCTAATACTGATTAATAAATTTTAGCTTATTAAAATCAATATACTGATAAGATTTAGAATTTGATATTAATTTTTCAGTAATCTGTTCGTATAAAATTTTTTTTATACTTAAATATTTTTAAGTAAAAAATTTGATATTGATTATTAAATTGCAAAAAATAAGATTTGAGAATTAAAATAAATATAAAATCATGTTTTTAACATTAATGAATAATAAGTTATAATTTTTTAAAATTAAAAATTAGGTAATGTATTAATTATTTTTTAGAAGTCATTTTTATATTTTATATAATATACATTTTTACATATAAGATTAAACTTAATTATATGGGAGGTTTGCTAGGAAAATGGGGCTCTGAGCATTGTTTATTAAAATTTTAATTTTTATTACATTTTAATTTTTGATAATGTTAGATTAAAATGCAATAAAAAATTAAAATTTTAATAAAAAATGCTTAGAGCCCCATTTTCTTAGCAAACCTCCCATACGTTATTTAATTATAATTTTTAATTTATAAAATTCATCCAACTTATAAATTTTAATAAAAAATATAAAAAATAAATATAAATTGATTACTAAAATCCAATCTATTTATATAACAATAATTAAATAATATAATAAATAATGCTTATTAAAATAATTTTATTTGATTAATTTTTTGAAAATTTAAAATGCAGAGGTATATTTGCCTGCTTTATAGTTTAATAATTTTAGCTGCGCTATACGGTAAATTCAATTTTGCGCATTGTAATAAAGATTTTAAAAAATATATAAAGAGATTGTAAGAAGTATTCTTTCACTTATTTTTACAAATATTATTTCAAATATTTCTTTAATCCATTACTTTAATAATACTTTTGTCTATAGACATGGGCTAGGAAATCAAATGATTAGATCGTCATTTTCCTAGTTCATACCCGATAGTTATTCATTTTTACAAATTCTAAGAAAAAGTATCTTTTAAAAATCCACCGTAGCAACCAAGCTAATTATACAGATAATTACAATATCTAATATACAAAATGAAAATAAAATTCTTGTTATTTATATTTGTTAAATAATATATGAACTCTCTCATAACGCTTGATCCAATCCATTATCATTATCATCATTATGATTGTTTGGAGAATAAATAGGAATAGTAGGAGAACCAGGTCTCACGACAACCTTTTCAGGTTGTTTTAACAAATTATGATCATTTTTTTCTTCGTCTAATTCATTAATCCCAGAAGACATAATAGAAGTTATGTTAGAAGTTAATCCATTCGTCATCGAAGGTAATTCTTGATAACCATCTATTTCTCCAATTCCGGATTCTCTCTTTCCAATTTCTTCTACTTGTAATTTAACGTCATTGTTAAATTGAGTGTAAGCAACAAAGTCGTCAAATTGGTGTTGATCAGACATATTATAATAATCCGTTGAAGAAGAAAAAGGTAAAATATTTGGTTCTATCAAATAATCCATAGCAGCAATTGCAGAAGTAATTGAATACAATTCAGGTATTTCTGGCGTAGGAAGGATTTGTTTTTCTGTTCCGTTAATAGTCAAAACTGATCGTTTACTATGTAAATTATTACTAGCTGACAATGACCTCTTATGAGAATAAATTGAATTAATTCTCTTATTATTATTTATATTTATGTTTTTCTCAATCATTGAATTAAGTGTATTATTTTTCGATAATTTGGTGGATAATAATATTTCTTTTTTATAACTTTGTATTGTTCTACATGAAAAGGTAAAAAAATGATTATTTTCACGTGTAAAAGCGAATTAAATAGAAGAGGGAACGCGTAAAATTATTTACCTTAAGCTTATTGTGGCTACGACAAATATAATGCAAATAGGGGTTAAAAAAGCGTAAGTTAAAAACATGAATATATTTAATGGCTTAGAATGTGTAATTATCCATACGCGAAATATGGAAGAAATTAGATAATATATGATAAAATATAGATTAGTCGCCAATATAATATATAAAGTAAACTTAATCTTTTCCAAACCAGTTTGCATTCTTTCCACTCTTGCGATTGTGATATGATTACTTCTTTTTGCGAAATTAATATGATATCTTAAGACATGACATAATTCTTTACCAAAATAACATACTCCCAATGCCCCAAATCCACTCCACAAAGCCCATAATACATCTTTTGTTGATAATAATATATCTGCTTCTCTGTTATTTGTATTATCTCTAAAATAACCACTTGCAATCGTAATTGGGCATATCGTTATTGGTGATATTATTGTTACCAATAAAAGATATCTATCAGTTAATTTACTATTTGGACGCCATGGTCTTTGCCTTGAATTTAAATGACTTCCGATTTGTAAATATGTTCCAATAACGAACCATGCATAACCTGAAAATAATAAAAAAAGAAAGGAATAAATTTTTGATAACCTTTCCCAGCACTATGTTACTATTACTTTACCTGTTGAGCTAAATGTCCAACACTAAATAAAGAGTTATTAACTTTATTATTGAATTGTTGAGATTTATTTAGTAATTACATAAACTTACCAATTCTTGTAATACTAAATTGATTTATTTATTAATTTATGAGTATTTGTATACATTAATAATTAATTACTTTAACATTTTATTATTGTTTATACTTACTTTCTCGTATCATATAATTATTATCAAATGAATCCGTCCAAATAATTATGATGAATAATAACCTTCCTATATAATTTAATATTGTTTTACGTTTATAAAAATGATTCAATAAATTTTTTTTTTGAAAAAAAATCGAACGTTGGCGCAGTATTAAATCCGCGTCTTGTAAATTACTTACCAATCATCCAAAATATTACCCAAATCAGAAATCCTTCAACGGGATTTGGTCTAATGAAACCGGTTCCAGGTATTTTTGGGAAGAATATAGAACATCCTTGTCGATTGATTCTATACCAAAGTAATATCATACATCCAGTTGCAATCAACAATATTATGATGAAATTTAATGCGTATAATGATTTATACATTTGACCATCTTCACACAATAATGTTACTCTCCAGTCGCAATATGAATGATTGTGGTAGAGAATGACCATTGGATCATTATCAGAGTTTGTTGTATCATCAGAATTGAGCGATGACATTTTTGATCATTTAACATAAAAAATATAAAAAGTATAAAAAAAAATTATATGGCTAATTTCTTTGTAAATATATTTTTCGAAAAAAAAAAAATATTAAAAAAAAAGATTGATGGGAGTTAATGGTATTTTTATAGGTAACGGTATTTTTATGAAATCGAAGACAATTTTAACCACCTTTATACATGATGGGCATTTCTCTTATTGGTACAATAATTGACTTTATTTGGAATTTGGTGTTAAGTTTTTTTATATTTGATAAAGTGATTAATATAAATAATGCATATATTCATGACATCATCAATAAGCCAAACCTTTACTTTTTGATTATATTTTTGTTTGTTATACATGTTATACAAGAAAAAAAAGTCTCTCTATGTTGTTCTTTTAAGCTTTCGCTGAAAGCAAGTTAGTTAATTATATTCTGAAACGCGATTTACTTCTTGGTGATAGATTTAGATGTTGATTGTATCACAATGGCATAATTCAAGAAAAGTAAGTAAATTCGGTACCAATTTTATATGGCAAGATTTACTAAAAAATTTGGAATTAATCCTTTAAAAAAAACAACTGATTTTGTAATATTAAAAACAATTATTTATATTTCGATTGGAATTAAGAATTAAGAAAGAATTGTTTATTGATAAATAATTAATTATTAGTTGGTTATGTTACTTGAATGGTTTTTTTGTTGATGGGAATTTGTCTTTTTGAGAAGTTGGGAAATTGATAATGATCTTAAATGTCAAAAATGTTATTAAGAGTCTTTAATTGGTAATTTGATAAATGTCAAAAAAAAAAAATAAAAATAAATTTTTTTTCCTAAAGAATAAGCCACATTTGTTTTATTCGCGTATGCAAACTGAAACTCAGAACTATATTCCATTCTCGATCATCTAAAAATTTAGAAATTTCGGCAAGTTCAATTTACTAATCTAGCTAGTCGATGAGTTAGTAATGCATAAGCACACAAAATTTCTGTTCAGTATTACAAAAAAAAATTTTTTGCTTTGAATAAAATTATAATATGTTATGCATGTGCGATGGTTTATTACTAATTGCCTTTATTTTTGTAAATAATTTTATACAGTGAACAAATTAAAAGTTTTTTCTTTTGTTCTGTTATAACCTGAAATATATTCGTACAATACGTGTTTCAGAAGTTTAAGACTTTTATAATGATTCAACGAAATTTCTAATTCATGTATATGCTAATAACCTACTTGATTATTTATTTTTTAATAAGCGATTTAAAATCAATAAATTATTATGCGTTTTATGACCATTACTGACAAGTAATAGTTTACAGTTTCTTTAAAACAGATTTTTTAAATACACATCTCATAATTATGTAAGATATATGTCGATAAAAATTTTGCAATATAATAATGATTTGTTTAGTTCTTTTTTATATGGTTACCAGGAAGGTTACACAAGCTATATTTTGGAAAAAAAAAAAATTATTCTTTCAAATTTTCAATGCGAGTTTTTCCGGCTACTTAGAACTCTTGTATTATTCAAAAATTTATCAAATTGCCTAACCTGCCGAATGAATGGAGTACAATGGTTTTCAATCCTATTTTATCCAATTACAAGTTTTATTTTGTTAATTTAAATACATGTAAAAATGACATCTGCACGACTACAATTTTAAATTATTTTTTATTTTGACTTATTATTAAAAAAAAATTTAAATTAAAATACTAAATAATATAGCTTTTAGACGTCAGATAACCTTTGTATGGTCGGACTAATCTGTCGGCCTGAATTAATTTAAAAAGTTGGTGAGACAATTTAATTAAATTGTGGTGATACTATATGTATTATACGCGCAATTATTATATAACACTAAAATGTTTTCGCATAATTGAATTTTAGCTAGAATTGAGTTTCAAATAAACCTATAGATTACTGGTATGTTAAAGTAAAGCTTCATCTATATAATCTGAGTTATATTTGATAATGAAGAAATTTGTGATGAAGCAAGAGAAATATTAAAATACAAATATAATCAACTTAAAGTGGATTTTTCATAGATAACTACTCTAGTTCGAATATGAACTTTATTAGTTTTTAATAAAAATTTGGAGACGTTTTTTTAAACAATTTCAGATCAATAAAAAAAATTTAGATTAGTTTGAATTATAATCTGAAAAAAAAAAAATTTTTTTCAGATTGATATTTTAGAATCTGAACTGAAAAGTCTGATCTGTTTAAAGCTTTAGTTTTAATATTTAACCTACTATTTTCTTTAAAAAAATAATCTAATTTAGATTTTTTATAAAAAATTAAATTTAATTTATTTATAAAATTCTTTATATTTATTTTTAAACTATTAAAAGTAAGGGGTTTTTTTAACTTTCAAATTGACTTATTTCAGTTGAAATATTAAGATAAAATACTCATATTGCAAATTTAAAAAAAAATCTTGTATTAGTATTATTTTATACTTTTTTTTTTTTAAAAAAAAAAAACTAATAAAAAAATAATATAAAAATTAAAAAGTTAGACAGTTATTTCAAAAAAAAACCTATAAATAATATTTCTTAAATATTCTAATTTATATAATATTTTCTTGATTATAATTAGAGTTGGTAAAAATCCTAATGAGTTCTAATTGGTCTTAAAAAATTTATAGATAATTTTGATTTATATACTTTTAATTAAATTTTTTATATCTTTTTAATAATTATTATACATAAATTATTTTATTAATTTATATAAAAAATTTTTTTAAAATTAGAATATATTTAATTTAGAATCAAATCCTAAGATTTAGATCCTAAATCTAAAATTTTAAAGATATTTTAATAAGTAACTTTAATTAAAAAATTGATTAAAATGATAATATTTAAAAAATTTAATTTTTAAAACTAATAATTTTTTAAAATTAATCAGGATTAATTAGAATTAATTAAAACTTTTATCACCCTAATTATAATATTAAATAGTCATCAGGTACTAGTATATAAAATCTATATGCATAATATGCATATTAAATACATTAAATTTTTATATACACATATTATACAACATAAAATATGCACAAATTATTACTAAAAATAGATAAATTATATACAAAAAAAAATAATTTTAACATAATAAATTATTATGATTTTCTTAATTTTATAATAATTTATTAACTTATATATATAATTTTTAATTTAGATTTTACACATTAATACTGTTGATTTAGATTAGATTATAAAAATAACTTCATAATCTAATTCATGACCTAGTGATAATTTTATAATCTAATAGTAATTTTATAATTTAGTAATAATTTTATGACCTAATAATATGATTTAATAGTAACTTCATAATTTAATTAAATAATCTAATTATGTCTTCATAATTTATTAGTAACTTTATAATCTAATCTTTAGATACTTTTATAACTTTCTAGTTATCATTTTAGTTAATTGTTACTATATTATAATATGTAATAGTAATAACTTTATAATCTAATGGTGATTATTATATATAAAGTCATAATGAAAACCTAAAAGCTAAAACGTTTTAACTTTAGAATTCAAAGTCAAAATGAAAAAACAATTAAGAATGCTTGTCTAAACTCATTTTGGATTTAGCTAAATGTCTAAACTTTTAGTTTCGCTAAATTTTTACTAAGTGTTTGATATAGTTTTACCATTTTTATAAGCTTTGATATAATTTTACTTTTTTTTGAATTTTGCAGATTTTTTAATAAGATTTTAATATAATTTAACCAAGTTTTACCTTTACCATTTAGACATCTATCTAAACTCTGGATTACATTCAGTAACCTTATTCACAATGATCAAAATGACATCATATTACATGATTTTTCATATAAAAAATTTAAAAAATAACAAAAATATATAATCTCAATCAATATTGCTCTGTTTTTTATAAAATAACTACCATTCAATTCCATATAATTAGACAGATCTAATGAGCTAAATATCATTAATATTTGATTAGCCAATCTCAAGATAATTATGATTGTATTTTTAAAATCTGGATTCCTTTATTTAAAGTAGAATTTATTAAATTATAATTTTAGCTGATAATTTATTACAATTATCTTCATATTAGCTGATTAAAAATTGATATAATATAGCTTATTGAATTTGTCTAGATACATGTAATCGAATAGTAGTTGAATTACGAGAAACAAAGTGATATTGATCGAAATTATATTTTTGTTTTTATATACAGTATAAATGATCATATGATATAATGTCATTTTGACTATTTGACTTTTAGACCTTCTCATAATTAAAATATTTTGACTATTTCAACTATTTTGAATGGTTAAAATAATCAAATTCAATTTTATATATAGTGATTATGACTCTTTAATTTAATAATAACTTCTTAATTTAATAATTACTAAGGAGTTGTTTATTGTTTACATATTTTATAACCTTTTTATAAAAAGATATCTATTTATTTATCTACTTTTGTACTTATTTAATTACCTGTTAAAATGATAAGAATATTTCTATTTAGTAATCTTCAAAGATGCCAATAATGTAAAAAAAAAAATAGATAATGCAGTAATTTTATAAATAATTTTAGCTGACTCTATAATATAATTTTAGCTAATTTTTAAAATATGTGATTTGAGAATCTAACTTAACATCATGGTAATACTAAGATAGTATTTGAATTCTAGCTAGAAATTAATATATAGGGTTGGATTAATTCTAAAAAGAACAGTCTGCAAACTGATTAATAAACTAGTTTTCAAGATCTTTAATTCATAATCTAAAAACTAGTCTGATTATCAAATAAATTTTTATTCAATATAACAAGTTTTGAAATATAAATTTAAGCTTATATTTTAAAATTATCAAAGTTATATAAACAGTTTTATATTTAATCTTACTAGAATTTATTATTAATTAAAAAATTTAGTTAAAATCTAAAAACAAATATTTATTATTATGATAAAAAAATGAAATTGTTTTTCAATAAAATCATTTCAAGTTTCTATTTTATTAAATTTACAATAATTT